GAAGAAATAACTTCAAATATTTTTACAGGGAATTTAAACTCTTAATTATATTATCTATATTATATTATATAAGTATATTTATTATGTTAACTATTAATTATTATTTGTTAGCTGGATCTTTAAATTGAAATTATTTATGTTTTCAGGGACGATACTTTGAACCGAGCGGGCAAGCGATGAGACAACTGAAATAGGTAAATCGTCAACTTATTATTGCTTGTTGTAAAGGTCTTTAACATCGTGTTACATAATTTTCTGGGTTAACAAAGTTACGAAAGGCTACGTGAATAACCTCGTTATATGGTTTTCTAATTTTTGACTACTTTTGCCTAACCTTTCAATAAATGATTGTTTTAGACTATTTATTAATTGAATACAAATACATAAATATAATAAATATATAATAAATATATAATATAATAAATATTGAATAGTCCATCCCTTTGGCCCGTTGTGATACAGGCTTAACCCTGTCAAGAAGTTCAACCTTGGCCGGATACACATTACATTGATTTAACCTTATTAAAAACTATTTCACCATATTTTCCAAACTTTCCCCACATTTATTCCAAGAAAATTCAATATGAACACGACACATGAGGATTTCTGTAATATATAATGCCAACAACGATATATGTAAGGCGACAAATTTGCGACGTTGTGTTTGTACAAGCAACTACTTATTTTAACTTTAACGACTAAAAGTTATTTACCATTTTAAGTATCTATTTAAACGTGAATGTTTTCGGTAACACATATTAAGTGTACTAATGCCTGTTTTAAAGACGAAAATGCTAACTTTTTGTCACATAGGGTCATTTTGTAAGGCGCTGGTCGTTTGGCTTTTTCCAAATACTGATATTTGTAAACTAATAATAATTTAGTTTCAGGGTAAACATTTACTAAAATAGAATAAATTATTAAATTACATAAATAAAATGAAATTCGAAATTTAAATTACACATATTTGCATCTGCAAAGGAAAAACATATAAAATTTGTCAACTTTATGTAGTGCAAATATCTCTGCCAAAGCTGGAAGATTTGAGTAAGAAACAGGACAAAATCATATCCGACTACACTATTCATCATTTCAATTAAATCAAGTACGTAAACGAGGCGAGGATAAGGACAGAGGGGCAATTCCGCCACGGTTATTCGATGTCTTCATCATCTGCCCATATTATATAAACCTCGCCCCAAATCTATCCAACCATTTTAATGCCCACATGTGCCACTCGCCACATGTTCAGTTTCATTCAATCTCATCCATTCTTTGCAAAACGAGATTTTGGAGAATAATCAAAGTGAAGAAGGTGATTCATAAAAAGTAGCGAAAACCCATGTCAAGCTCTGCACGAGGTAGATGCATATATATTTCTACAATTTTGTACATACACAACCCACTGACAAATCTTACCCAACACTGCAATTCTTACCACTTATATAAACACGTCTGGATTTGTGTTATACATTTTTATTCAAGCAAACTAATTAATGTGTCTCATGAATTAATCATATCTCTAAAATGGTACCCACTTTTATGAACTCGATCAGTTTTAAAGTAATTACTGGGATGAAATTTTCATAAAAAAAATGTTCATTTTGTTAAAAATATAAATATATAATTGTCGCTATAGAATTCTGTCAAAGTCTCGCTAGTGGTTTACGCCTTGTAAAAAATACGCATTTTGCATATATTACATTTTTAACTACACATTACACAAAGGGTGGCTCTTAATTTTAGCAAATGTGCAAATAATCAAAATAATTAGTAAATCTGAATATTATGTGAAATCGAACACACGGGTTACGCATATAATCATACATAATTGTTCATAAATGCCCCAAATATTACAGCCTTTGCGGTACATACCTATATTTGATACAAATTCACCAATGTTGTGGCAATGAAAAACTTATAGCCCACTCAGAAACAAACTGTTACCAATGGGGTACGAAGTCATTACGAAATTAATACATATGTACATATATACGGCTCATGCGGACATATTTATGTTCATCAATCTCCACTTTCTGGGAATCATGCATCCCTCAAGTTCAGGATATTTGTATTTATCTGTGGAGTGAAAAATGACAACCACATTTCGCCGAATCGCTAGTGGCAATGCATTTGTACCCGAAAGTCTCACTCTATTCATGCATAGGCAGAATTACGCAACATTTATGTATGCATACAGTATGTAACAAAAGTATAGCTATGTACGACGACATATTTTTTATCTCGATATGATGCCGTAATGTTTCAACTTTGAAACTCCGTACAAAAATGTCAAAATTATCTGCCGACAATTTCCTCGTCGCCGATGTTTAATGTCGCAGATAGGTCAAAGGTCAGGATTATTTTTCTGAAAAAATTTGAGGCGTCGAAAAAAAACTTCGTGGATAATTTTTTTTGAAATTTGCAATATTTTTTACTGGATGCGGCACGCGCTTTGAAGAATAATGAGCTTTGTTTGGACCGTCTACGATTTTGTTGACGCCTACAGCAATTTTTCGCCAAAAAGAGGTTGAAGGTCTAAAATCGCCGCCTTGGCGAAAATTCAAAAAGTGAAATATACGTTTGCATATAGAGGGTCCGAGTATGAAAACGTATATTAACAGGTCACATAGGCACGATATCATTTTAGCCTTAGACCCCCCTCCCCCCTCTAGCATGATATAATTTATGGACCTTCCCTAATGACATATACATACATAGTCTCAACCAGGCCCGTACCGACGATGCTTCTAGGTGGAGCACTGGCTCCAGGCCGTACCGGCACGCCCTGTACACTAGATATAATTGTCCTATCTCACGCCGCAAGATAAATGCATATTAAACGTGGGCAAACGTAAGATTCAGTTTTTTTGAAGGCCTATTTTCAATTGCAGCATAGGTCTCAGATTTTGTCCCCGAATTTATCAATAGTCGCCGGTATGAAAAAGAAGTTAACTTAAAAAAATTACATTTTAATTTCCAATATTGGCCGAGTTATTGTTATTTTTCGAAATTTTAAAAACGCGTTGCATTTGAAATATCATGTGCAATAGATTTTTGAGACAGTTTACTCCTACTTAAACTTTATTTTATTTGTCGTAATCTACTTGATAAAATTTTCAAACCTTGAAAATTTTCAATTTTCAAAATTGTGAATGACAATTTTGAAGCGCTGTAACTCCTTGCCCCCACTAATGTTTTTCTCAAATGTATAGAACGTTTATGCGTCATACAAAATATAGAATTACAATTTCAGACCTACCTCCACGAACTCTAATCTCATGTAACATTTGATTTCAAAAAATGAGAGAATTGAACTCCTTGATTAGAAAATGAGTCTCGAGGGGTTTATAAGTACGGAATCCAAAATTGGTTTTTCGAATTTCGAAGAAAATGTAAAATTACCTTTGATGTTTGTGCCTATGATGAGTTGGATGAACTTGTTTTAGAACATTATCCTATTGCTATTGTAATCAATAACCGTCCCACTTCTCATCCAGGCGAACACTGGACATGCATGTTTATTGAAAACAGGAACCTACCAATAAATTTTTTCTGCAGTTATGGAGTAGGAGTTGATGCTTATGCAAGTAATTTTCGTGAATTTATCGAACGACATGGAACTGGTGCAATACAAAATTGTGTCCAATTACAATCTCCAAACAGTAACGTATGCGGGCACTACTCAATTTGGTTTTTATGGAAACGAGTAAATGGTTTTAGTGTAAGAAATGTGTACAGTAATTTTTCAAAGGATTATTCTAAAAATGATAGATTAGTCAAAGAATTTATAAATAACAAGATTCATTTATTAAATCAAAAATGTTGTAACAAGAAAATTCATCAAAATTCAATAAATTTTGTACGAAATTAAAATGGGTTCCACTTTTGCATTTTCCTCGTCAATTTGTTAATCCTGTGTTCGTGCACCTTCTTTTGAATCCATGCACTCTGCTTCTTTGTCTTCTTCGTCTTCAGCTGCTTTCTTTTCAGACCACTCCCCTTCTGCTTGACAATAAATTGGTTGACGGTGGTTGGAAAGAGATCGGCTGGAGGGGACTTGGACTTTATAAACTGCAGCAAATTCAACATTGATGGATCCGATTTGAGAGTGGATTTTGCCGAGAATCCATGACATAATCCAACGAGAAGCGCGTTCATCTTCTTCAACGTATATGTCACATCATTTACAATAACCTTATCAGCAGTAGTTATTTTTACACCATTTGCTTGAAGAAACTCGAGAATTTTCCGTCCCCGTCCAGTTGTGTTATTTAAAAGCACATCTAGAGTAGCACCTGAAACTTCACGTGTTGGTTTTGAAATCACTGTTGAGGGCTGTTCAGTAGCAGTTTCGTTCTCTGCATTCTTCACAAGTAGTGGCTTTTTGTCATCCTGTCTCTTGTTATCAATAAGTTGACGATTTAAATTTTGCAAAAGCAAGATCTTTACTTCGTCAGGTATTGTAGAGTTTCCAAAAATGTTTGTTTTTTCAGCTTTCAGTTTCTCTTCAAGATCCAAGTCAACATCTTGTTGAGAATTCAACGCCAAGATTTTCTTGTACCAACTTTCTGGTACCACTTTCATTTTTCTAGCCATTTTCCAACAAGTCCACCAACTAATGTAGTTAAAATCGGAACTAGCACAGGAAGAAAGCCCCCCTTTTGACACAAGTACTTCTTTTTACTTTTGATTGGTGACTTTAAACAAAGTTTTTGTATGGCAGTCTTGTGTCGCAATAATTTATTTTTCTGAGCCTTTGTCACAGGAATATTTCTGTTGTTTAGATTGAGGCAAAGTTCACAAATGGAACGAATTTGTTCTCCTGTTGCTTTATTTATAAGCAGTTTTCTGTCCTTGGGTTTGCTCCTACATAGACGATGCAAGTAAGAAGCATGGAGCTTAACACGATTTTTCGGAGCCATAATCAGTCAGAGTCCTTATCATGACTATGCCCTATATCTGCAAACGTTGGTTTTATATAGTAGTCAGTTATGATAATGGGTTCAGCAAGGATTAAGTCCTCCTACCTAAACGTCAAGAACCCAGGCTCCTTGAGCGGACTAGGAGGTTTCATAAAGTCTGGAAAACGAAAAGAATCTCGTCGAGAAATCGTTTTGAAAACTATTCCTGCTTATACGTTACACCGGTCTCGTAGAAAGATTTTTCCGAGACGTGTGGTATACGTAAAGCACATAAACGATCAGTGGGGAATGGACCTGATGGATGTTTCTAAATATTCAAAGACCAATTACAACACGCATTTTTTGCTTACGGCAATAGATATTTTTTCCAAGCGAGGATATATTGAACCGCTCAAAAATAAGAGTGGTCTAGTTGTAATGAAAGGTATTGAAAAGATTTTTAAAAGAAGCAAAGGACTGCCTCTTCGCATACAAGTTGATCTTGGGCGTGAGTTTTATAACGTTCATTGTGAAGAATTCCTTGAAGATCTTGGGATAAAATTGTTTTCAGTTCAGTCAGAACTCAAATCTTGCGTGGTTGAGAGGTTCCATCGCACAATTTTGGAAAAAATTCATAGATTTATGACAAACTATGAAACAACTAAATTTGTTGATCGACTATCAGATCTTGAAAACAACTACAACTCTTCATATCACAGAAGTATAAAGTGTGCACCAAAGGAAGTTAACAAGAAGAACGAGCAAATTGTGTTTGCGCGCTTATACAACAAATTAATTGGAGCAACGGAAACTCGTCAAGAAAAATTCAAAGTGAATGACGTTGTCTTACTCTCAAAAGTGAAGAAAATATTCGAAAAAGGTGCTTCAGCTAATTTCAATAAAGAAAAGTTTATAGTTAACGAAATAAAAACGACATTCCCCCGTACATATATTCTTCGTGATCTTAAAGGAGACATTTTGGAAGGAGGATTCTACCGAGAAGAAATGCAAAAAATATGATGGAGTGCATAAGAGGACTAGTATCACAGATCTCTGGCATATTTGCTAGGTTCAAGTCCAATTGTTGTATTTGTGCCAAATCCTTGTGCTGTTCTTCTCAAGTTGATAATCCGAGCAACGAGAATAACTCTATAGAAGTTTTTGATATTGAGTTTGCATTATCAAGTGTTGGACGAAAGTGTGACTCGTGTAAGAAAACTACAAAACGTTATCATAACTATTTAGAGAGCCCAAATTGGATGCTTTTATGCATTCAATGCGGGATTGTATATCTAGAAACGTTTCCAGAAAAATACAAAAAGGAAGAACAGCACACTATATTATAATCAGTAATCGTTTGACGAAGCAGGACAATGGACTACCTACTTAGCCCAAGGTTATACAACAGAGGAATTCCTTTTCAGTCGAGGTTGGAGGAAGAGTCCCAAACAGAGAAAGAACGTTTCATGAAACTTAAAGCTTGGTTTAAGAAAACAAGTACAAACACAACAATAAATCTTTCCAAGGAGACGAACCGCATTGAGTTTGACATTCATGAAGTGCCTCGACTATGTGAACAATTGCTAACGTTTTACATGAAAAATGGAGGAAACGTTTTGTCTGCACTCACACTACGTTCTGAAATAACACGACTAATACAGGAGCACAACGAAAGAGAAGTTGAAGACTTGAAAAGGTTCTCCATCGCACTACCGACCTTTTACGAAACGGACGATAAAAGATCCATAACCCCTCCAATGTTGTATTCACAGCCAATCGATGCTGTTGACCACTACTACAATAGCATTGGTGGAAAAACGTCTCCTCCACTATAAGAAGCGAGTGAATTTTTCAGTCGTCAGTACAGTCTTTACTCTACTTTCACAAAGTAATCATCAAGTTTGTAAACCCAACCAAGTTTTCGAAAATCATTATGGCTACAAAACAATCCAACATTTCGGGAATTGTCCCACCCCCAAATTTCCCTGCTTCCCCAAACCAAGAAGAGAAGGGCAACCCCACTTTTCCGACGTCTGCTGCAACCCCAAGTGCCAACCCCACCCAATCTTCTGCAACCCGAGCTGACAAGCGAGAATTGGAAACCTCTACTCTTGCAACCGACGACAAGAAAATAAAGATTGAAGATGATCGGATCATCCAAGTGTATTCTAACGAGTTACTTGAAAAGATCCAAATTGTAATTGAAAGAAAGAAAAAGTGCATCTACTTGGATCTGCCAACCTGTTTCTACGTGATTAAACGACTCGTTGGAGCAATGCACAAGGATCCTGCTATACGAGTCCAACTGAGTACGCTTTGCATGCAGATGTACCAAGAGTTCCCTTTCTTTGCGAGCCGAATGCTCTACGAAGAGGCCGAAGAACATGGATTCAAAGAAAGCAAGCTTGCGTATAGAAGTGAGAATCCAGCCATTTGGGTAAGCCCCTTCAATGACGACTACTATGTGTTTATCAAGCAAGAAGGAGTGTCCGTTAATTTCAAACTTGACGATTCATGGGATGTTATCCACAAAATTGTCAAGACTGCATTCCCTCTCGTGGTTGGCGATGAGGGTCGATACATTGCATTTTTCCAATGCTTTGAACGATTTTTAAGCGAAATCCTGTACGCCTGTGAAGATCTCCACATGGCAAACACCTACGAAAGATTGAAAGGAGAAATGATGAAGCTTGGATTCAACGAAGTTCGAGAGGGAGCTACACCCAAGTTTTATGTTATGAATAACTGGGTTAGTGTTTCAATTCCCGACTTTAACCAAGCCAAAGATGAAGATGAAGAAGATGAAGAAAGAAAAGTGCTGGGTTGTGAAATCCAAACTGATATCCTGCTCAACCCATGGCTGTTGAATTTATACGAACATCCGTTGCAGAATTATGGCATTATCTCACCAGCCGAAATGTGTGCCAAGAAGAGGATGTTGCGTGAAATTCGAAAACGTACAAAACCAACCAAGCCCAAGTTTGACATAATGATGATGGCTGAGTACTATGAGACGTCTGGATGGACACCAGTTGCGGAAGATGACTGGGCAGACATACCCGAGAAAGAGGGGGTCTACGTTTTTGGGATTGACGAAACGGGGCAGATTTGGCAAAAGTTTCGTACTGAAGCAAATCAAGACGTAAAGATTTGGGAAGGAGTTTTGGAGGAGCTATGCAAACCCAAGGATGGCGAGGAAGAACCAAATGACAAGACCATTGCAGATGGGAAGGACGCAAAGCCATGCATGCATCCCCATCACCAATTTCGTGGTAACTGGCCAGCAAAATACTTTGAGTTGCGAAAATGGAAACGGGTAGCAAAGTATGGTGATTTTCCACCCAATACCAATGGAAAGCGGAAGAACGCCTGGCTGGTGGATTCAGAGGGGCAGACATGGATGAAGGACTATGTAGATTTAGGTGAAGTTACGGTTCCAGTTTTTTTCGTTCCAGAAAAATGTAACTGCGGGCAATTGACAAAAATGTAATTATTTGATTTTTTTTTTTCAAGAGTAAATAAATTGGTATACACACCATTGTTTTGTAATCAGTTTGAATCTTGTATTTGCATGATACAGCTATCCAAGGAGCATGGAAGCATCAAAGACGAAAACGTTTGTTGAACGAAACTCATACATTTTCATATTCATTTCTTGCTTTCTTTTGGTACTCAGTTACATTATATATAGTGGTTCATTTGCTACAATACGTATAGTGTTGGATCATCATTTTGTGGTTACCAGACCTTTTCCTTTCAAGTTCATGGGACTTGACTAAAAAGCAAGTTTACATACAGTAAAACAATCATTTGAGTTTTGCAGTGTGTGACAACAAGACCATAGTAATGGAGTCTGTAGCTCAGTCAGTAAAAACGTTTATAGAACGTTTTTACTCGTTCATAATCCTTTGCATTTCCTGTCTTATTTTTGTTACAAGTTATATCATGTATATAGGAACATTTGCCAGCTTACGTATAGTATTAGATCATCATATTGACACTACTAAAAACTTTACATATGTTACTCTTGGACTAGTCTAAAAACGTTAGGATGGAGACCCCGCGTCGAAAAAAGACAAAGTGTGAACGTTGTATGCTTGAATTCTGTCAAGCAGTGCTCGGCTGTTTGTGCGTTGTACTTATTCTCTTTGTTGGAATATTTTTTATTGTGACACTAGTTTACTGTATGGCGTACTATCGTGAGTTTCTTATATATTTTTTCGAGAATATAAAGCACGAAATAATGCCGAATTCAACTAGTTTTGCTCCAAACGTTCACGCAACAACAACAACTCAAGTATGGAGAAGGATAACATAAAGAAAAAACGTCGACCAGACGTGGAAAAATTTAGAAAACCCAAACCGTCAAAACTACCTCGCAAGAAATCCTTACACTCTAACTCGGACGGTACAATAGTTGTGAACCCCATGCTTTACGCCAATCATTTTCAATTTTATGAAACGTGTGGAGGTTATCTATCGCTATATCCAAAGGACGGTCAATATTTGGTTTCGGCTAATGGAATAGCCGAGTGCGCACCACGGAGTCTTTATGTCTTGATGAACGACACTGGACGTGTGGAATTTCATCAACTTCAACTCTTGGACATTTCACTACGCATGCTTGAAGCTGGCCTCTCAAGACCTTTTCGGTACGAAGATTTGGAAGAATATAGAAGAAGTTCTAAAGCTATGCTTGAAGGCAAACCCCGACCTTCTCAGTATAACAGGGATAATTGGGTTCGTCCGTTTGACGTAAAGACTCCATGTCCATTAAAACCTCAAGAAGACCTTATTAAAACGTATTTTGAAGGATGCAACAAGAATATACCCAAGAGTGAAAAGAAAACGTTGCAGCCGAGCTATAAAGTGCAAGATACTAGCCTGTAAACCTTCAGTTGCGATGGAGTCGTCGAACGATCAAAAAGTTTTTCCTGTTCAAGAGTCCTTTGGACTTTTGCAAACTTTTTTGAAACATGGAGCGTACAAACTCCATGGCAACTCGTATTCTCCTCTTCATTTTTTGAGTGACCGTGTTGTTTTGGAGAATGCGACTGGAAGTATTGAAGTTGAAATTGAATCAGTGCTACATTTGGCACTAAATTTAGTACTGGTTGCTCGTGACTCGCCTGCCTCATCGCGGGACATTGCATTTTTTTCAAGTGAGTGTCAGAGTTTGCTGGAGGATATCAATAATAAGCAACACAAGAGGGGGACATATCTGACCAATCCCGAACTTCCACTCCAGTACAAACCGAAAACATACCCATTTAGGCAGTGGACGGGTATTGCCCCATTTGACAAAAATAAGGAGCCAACTCTATCCAAGATGGAAAGCCGAATAAAGCACAGGTTTCTTACCCAACGATTTATTGCCCAGGATGTTGAGCAAGGTTATCGACAACACAAGGGCTGCCCTTCAGGACCACCCCCACTCGATGTTTATGGTATACAGTGTGGAATTTGTGAGCATTCTGCTTCGTGGGACGCGCCGGGCTTAACCTTATGCTAAGTATGCCAATATGGCAAATCTATGTAAACATATACAACATATGGCTTATTGCCATATATATGCCAATATGGCAAATCTATGTAAACATATACAACTTTGGCTTATTGCCATATATATTCCTATGTAAACCTATACAACTTTGGCTTATTGCCATATCTATACCTAGGTCCCTGAGCTCGCGCTCTTTTTGGTTTTTATATCAATAAAATGTAAATATTGTAATCATTTGTAGTTTTGACTTCATTATGGCATCACCACCAGAGAGCATATCTGATGCAGAGTTTTTTGACACTCTTATTCATTTACCTAAACGAAAATGCATACAAAAAAGAAGTCGTTCAAACGTTTTAAGTACTGAATCAACCAAAGGAAACACGCTCATCACCATTAGCCAGACGATTGAGGGACTTGAGCAGAAAATTCAAATCAACTCGGCATCTCTAGCTTGTTTTCTAAAGGATTTGGTGGACATTTCAGTAATTGCATATCGAAAGAACTTGATAGATCA